ACTCACAGATGGCGGTAGCTGTCCAGCCTGTCCACTCTGGCTTGCCGAGTTGCGGCCGGCCATTACTTCATTCCCACGATAGTACAGCTACGGTATTAAACGATTAGCAAAGAGCACCTGGTGCATGTAGCTAACGCCTCGCTTGTAATAACCGTCTAGGAACCTTGACAGCTAGTGACGGAGGTTGTCTCGCCTCCGGCCACGACGAGAGAAGAGAATAGGAGGGACTCCCCCCTTCCCGAGAATGCCTTTTGTGTGTCTCAGAAGTCGCTATTGTCTCCCTACAAGATTATAGAAAATTAACCCGTCACTCAAAATTCGGACAAAAGCAGCCGCTTCGGTGGCTGGAACGACTAGGCCATCCTCTCGACGTCAGCCTCGCCGTAGCTTTGCTCGTCCTGAGACGACCTACGTCACGATTGCGTTGGATGTCACGTGGTCTCCGCTGGGCCTTCTCCGAGCGCTTGCCAGAGTGGGCCGTTTACAATGAAAAATACAGCCACCAGGCTCAAAAGAGAAACGTGCGATAGTCATTTACGGATATTGTTTTTTTTTTTTTTAACACGACGGAAATATTTCAAATATTGTTGAAGTATCCCTTTAAGCACACGTAACAGACCGCGTTGGATAAAATATAGTTTACTCAGAAAGAATCAAACACTGAAATGGACGAAGGACAGACATTCGCCTTAGGGAACAGTTTTTAGAAGTCAACAAGGCATCACCTGACTCTTTTAATTCAACTGCTGAACATGCTCGAACCTGCCACGAATGCATCCCTATAGCTATAACTACACTACAGTGCATGGTTCACAAAAGGACAAGTATGGGCAGGAAATAATTGAACCATTGAAGGTATAGAATGCTACAATGTTTCAGAACCTCCGTTGTCGTTATCGACAAAAAAGCTGGAATTCATCGCGCCAGAGTTATCCTAAAACAAAAAGCATCCTTTAATGTTTTCTGCATTTTCAGGGAGTCAAATTCAGCCATCTTTATCGTTATCCTTTTTAGTATCTTTTTCTACCATTTTCGTTTTCCTTCAAATTCCTCTATGACGAAAGTGGTGTTCGTAGTGCAATAGGCATCATATAAAAGTGCCGTGAAAAGGAACTAGGCGTGGCCACGAAATATCCCCTCAGTCTCGGCTAATAAGATCATTCTTTTCCAATGTCTTTTTCTTTTACTAAGTTCCCCGTCTTTTACCACAGTCTCGGGTAATTTTCATAACGAATATATTATTAACAGATGGCTCGTGAGTCGTGACGACCTGGCTCGTCGCGAATTCTCCAACACACCATCAGAAGAAATATCCACGGATAACTGCGAGCTGAAAGGTCACTGCACCATCCCTTTAAACACACGGCTTCACACACGTTTCCTCCAAACCGTTTTTTTTTTTATTAGATAACAGTGAAGTCTATATAAATAAACCCATCAAAATAATGACTAAAAAGTGTCGTAATATTAAATCCAACAGATTTTACAAACGTCAACCATTCAAAAAGTGTATACGTGAGTGTAAAGATGACAAAACAGTTTTCACATACAAACAACATCATCAGCGTAGCATGCACATAGTATAGAGCTCGACCCTTTTTCGGGACAAGTGTTTTTTATAGGGCAGTTTCACTTATGTACGGTGTACGACACAGCGTAAACACAACATACTTGGCTCTGGTTCTAAGAAAAAAATTACACTAGCTTGATCACGCCGACAAGACCGGGAGGCACAAATTCCGTCGTGAACTAACTGGACAGATGGTGTGTGTGTGTGATGTCGTAAGGTCACACGACCGGGACGTCGCACTAGGTCCTGGCGTCACGTGACGTCACGGTGTGACATGACATGACCTCATGACATCCCACGACGTCACAATCACACAATGTCATGTGCCATAACGATGTCACATGACCCTGACGTCACATAAAGAACTGACTCATGGTCATGTCATATCGACGTCATGTTGGCACGTGACGTCACAGCCCTTGGTGACGGTACTTCATGGCGGTTTTCTGATAAAATTTGGCTGATAAAAACATCCTGCATTCAAATAGAAACAAAAAGACTGGGATTGCTTCTTCGGGCTGACGATGTCGCGCTTTCTACATCCGTTTCAAAATCATGCGAGAATCCATGCTGGTGAACCATCGCCTTAGATTTTCAATGCGTTAGACGGCAACTCCGGTGCATACTTTCGATTTTGGGATTATGACTGTTTTTAGTGCAGTTAGCGTCCCTGAATTGCAAGATTTTTTTTCTTTTTTTCGTTACTGTGCGTAGTTTCAAAGATGTCGACGCCTCAAAGTTTTGTTTGGGGCGAGGCCAACAAAATCGAAACTAGCCGCTCGAGGCCCCGGCAACACTGGAAATCAGCCGCTATGTGAACGTGACGTCAGGATCGTTCTCGTTTAACGAATACGCAGACCGAGCGGCACCTACCTCTGTTGCGATAGCCGTGTAAAGATAGGAGGTAAGCTAATTTTGCTTTAATTCCGTATACCTGGTATTTGTTCAGCATATGTAGCAAGAGCCAGTGCGTATACCCAAAAGCTAGCGACTGGAAAACCGGTGAACTCGTACGGTGCCGTACTTGGTGGCTGTCGCCGTGTATGCGGTCTTCTGTACTCGTCGCTAGGCCTAAATTGTCATCGGGGCTCCGTGAATGCAGCGGCGTTGCTCAACGCCGCGTTGCCAGTGACGTACAGTACTGGGGGCCCTCTCGCTTTCGCGCTGCGGGTCAGTCCCAGACACTAAGCTTTGAGGCTCTCCGGCGCGGGCCGTGGCGCCCGAACACACGTGTGCTGGGCTGTACTTACACGTCTGTTTTTCGTTCTTTTTTCCTTGGGCGCGTAAAAGCCGAAGTCCGAAGTCCACTCGTCGAACAGCGTTCACCCACACCTTCTCCTATTTCCGGTCCATTGGAAACTTGTGAAAACGCACCTCCGTTTTGCGCAGCGGGTTGTTTGAGCAGCCCGCAGCGGTACAAGTTGCACTCGGCATCTTTCGAGGAACAGCTGGGCAGTATTGGGCGCACCGAGCTGCTCGCTAAAACGAGTCTTGGAGTCCTCACAAGGCAAATAAACAAAAGGCTATACCGAAGCTACACGGGCTACAGATAAAAGCAACGGCTAAACACGCCAATCACAAGCCAAAGTAGCGATGGTAGCGGCGCAAAGAAGCGCACTCCGCGCAACGCCCGGACCGGAGGAAAAAAAAAGAGAACGATACTGATGTCACGGCCCGATGTTGCTTTAGCGATCGGCAACCCGCTGGCCGCCCGCTAAGGAGCAGCGGCTCGCATTTTTATTATCGGCATTAGTTGAGAATGCGGCATCCCACGGTCGTAATATTTTGGCTGGGGTCGTATTTTGTGTCAACACAGCAATACCAGTAATTTATCTCAGTTTGAGTTTTGGCCGGAGTTGCCCCTTAAAGACCAGTTCGCGTTTTCCACTTTTCCCCCTCTTCCTCCTCTCCCCCTTCTACCCTGTCCACCGTTGCCTGTTTCCTCCTCCCCCATGGTTAGGAGGATCTTCTGCCTTGCAGAATCTTGAGTATGGTCGTTGGCCTTTAAGGCAGCGCTTTCCATCTTTGTTCAACGTCATTCTGTCATGACGGGCTGTGCCAGGCAAAGTGCTCAGCAACAGAAAGAAGCAGCACTATTACATTTCTCTTATCAAAAAAACAATTATTATGAAATGAAATGAGCCGGAGTTACCCCTGTTAAAATCCCACCTATCCCTGGCAGAGCTGAAAATATTGCACAGTTTGCGTGTGCCAAAACACCTAATCGAGCTGGCAAGTTCCACTTCCAATAATATATTGTTCACTTCCAAGCCACTGTCCGTGATTAAATTTTTCGAGGTACTAGATAAACTAAATTGGTGTAAGTATGTTTATACATCCTGAACTTAGTCTGTTTCAATGGGCAACTTGTCTCTCAGCTGTAGATGAGCAATTTAGAGGTATTGGATAGCCTCCCATGTGACTGTGCGTTCAGAGCTCCGAGGAGAAACACGTGACTTTTGAAAGGGGTTCATACCGAGAACATAGTGATAAACAGCGCACTAGAGGCAAAGGCACAGTAGCAGAAAACAGACAGGACAAGCGCTGACTCGTACCCCAATATGTAAAACACGGATGAAGAAAAGAAAGAAGATGATAAAAATCAGAAAGGATGTGTCCATGGTAGGAGAAAAAAAAGTAATTAGTCATTAGTTGTTTCCACACTATACACAGTTTATACGAGAAGCGCATAACACCCGCAAGACTGCCAAGCACAAACGTCAGTTCACATCTGCGTGTGAAACCTCTTTTTCGGATAATGCCACAGATGGTTGACTCGCGCAGCATTCCCCCAAATTCATTATAATAAAGGCTTCATAGACCTCCCTCGTAATTCTGTCCCTATATCTACCAATAAAAGTGGTCTTAGCCATGGTTGGCTTGCAGGAACAAACATGGCAGTCTAAGGGCAAGTGGCCTCCGACCGTGGACAGGAGAAATAGGTTATGTTTACGAAGCCCCCTCCCCCCCTCCCCCGTTTTTCCACAAGAAGGGGGAGTATTTCCCCTTTCTGTATCCCTTCCGGAATTAAATTCTCCGTACCGAGAGAATTTCAATGGGTGAAGGAAGAGGCTGAAATAGAGAGGAGAACGGCAGATGTAGCCACATGCCTTAGTGTGCCTTACTCTCTCCTGCATGTTCATACGTTTCGAGGTGATGACTGAAATTTTTCAAGGGGGGCTAACGAAATGCTACCGCGTTTGAAAATTGGGCTTTTTGAGTTTCGTCGGCGGTGGAGCCCACTACGCTTCTGTGACTCGGTAAAACCAAAATGGCACTGATAAACGCTCGACAACGTGCAAACAATAAGGTGCGAATAGCACAAGGGGTTCACCGACATGGCAGCAGGCGGCTTACAAAAGTCCCAAAGTATGGTTCGTGAAACTGCCCTATTCACAATTTACATCAATTCACCACGAAAACAGTCATGCTGACTGTAAATGCGGGACTGGTTGTATATGTACAGTCAAGGAAAAGCGGTAGGTTCAAAGAGACCGGTCACATGTCAAAATACTTCCATATAAAAACAAGCTTGGCATTACAAAATGCTGTTCCTAGATTAAAGGTGAAAGAACACCAATACATTTTCGTGGCTTAGGCACAAGGTTCTCAAGCTCGATGAATTGGCACGAAGAACAAGCATGAACTGTGCAAAATCGTTTCCACTGTAAATTTTCTCACAAATAAGTGGAAATATATACCCTAGTTAGTCAAAAAAAACTACCGGTAATTCACTTTGTCCACAGCACCAAGCTATGTGCAATACACTAAACTGCAGGGATCAACAAAAGGATCACGTAACAAAAATGATACGTCCATTGGCAACATGGAAACAATATCCAGGAGACTTAACTAAACTCAGGGACAAGCATTTCAGACAATTCAGAAGAAGTGAAGAATGTGCGAGCACATCTCTGATCGGCACTCAAGGTGGTTGAGCACATGGGTACCCTAGCTTTAGCTTCATTGTCACAAAAATATTTATCCCTAAGTATAGCATGATCCTAGATAACGGAAGGAATGAAACATGAGGAGGACGACACACAGACGAGTACATTCTTTCAACTCGCAACAAAGTTTATTCCATGGGGTAGGAGCGCCCATTCCCCCACGGACACTCATACTCCATGGAATAAACTTTGTTGAAAGTTAAAAGAATGTACTCGTCTGTGCGTCGTCCTCTACATGTTTTATTCTTTCTGTTATCTAGCATATTTTACCAACATGCTCATTAGGAATATAATAGCATGATCTTTCAGCTGTAAACATGACTACAATAAAGTTCTGCTTGCAGACGACCATGGCCAGCGTCCATTAAAGTTTGGCTACCAAATAAGACTAGGAAAATTCAAAGCTGGCAGATGGCACACTAAACGTCATGGGAACTCCAAACATGTTTAGGAGAAGCCGCCTGTAGCAGGATTACACACACCTCACAAGGCCACAAAGAATGTGAACATGTCACAATCAACGAGTTTACGCAGTTACAAGGACAATGGAAGAAAAAGATTATGGCATGAAACAACAACCCTTTTTTCATGTCAAGTCATCGAAATCTACCAAGATGGCCATTGGCCAATGCAGTTTTGCATGTAACAATCATCATCCTCATCCCCCCTTTTAAGACGCTAATTACAACCTTTGCAATGTGGCGGACATGACTGAACAAAAGAAAAGAAACAATGCCATATCAAACGACTCAAAAGGGAGGCCAAAGTGGTCTTGGAGCACATCTTGAATGGTGAGTCGATCAAAAGTAGATCATGAAAAGACCTGAGCACACCAGTAATTTCAAGTTTCGCAACCTGGAATCTGTAAGAGCTGGTTTCAAAGAATGTCTTCCAAGGCAAGGGTCTGACGGTGCAGTACTTTGATTTTTTTTTTACAGGGATAATATTAAATTCTGATGCTTAATGTAAAGCTCCTTCTCTAGGCACCAATAAAAATTCATCATTGAGAAAAAACCTTGCTGAAATATCTTCATGTCAGCAAAAAAAAGAACAATGATTTCTGAAATATGAGTATACCTACAGTGATACACAGAGTGTATCATTGTAAACTGTCACCAGTTTTGCATACATTAATTTCTCACTAAGCTGCGATTGGATATTGAACTCGTGTTTTTGACATTGCAAGATCCTCATTCATATATGGAATGATTTTAAAAATATATATGTTTTCATAAAGATGCGCAGGTTCATTTCAATCAACTTAAAAATGAAACCGCATTGATAATACAGCAATGCTTAAAGCGTCATGCACAGGGTTTCGTCAGAATATCTCCGAGATGAATATGCTTAGAGGACAGCAGCCATAAACAAATAATTAATTTTTTTTAATTTTTGGTTCCAGACAGAGATAATCGCACATTACTGAAATTTAGAAAAAAATGATTATACAGCTAGCTAAACCTTAATGACGAAATTAAAATCTGTGTCACTTAGCAAAAAAGTCAGATGGCATGAATTTATAAATCCAAAACAAGTGATACAGCTTACCTTGAAAATATATTGCACAATAATTTCTAAGCTATTAGTTCACATGTTAGCAAATGCAAAGTTTGCTCATGTTTTGAAATTAATGTGTAAAAAAGAAAAAGCCCTGATTTTTCCATTGTCAGTGCAGCACTGAAGAAAAATGGGCAGTACTTCGGTTAAACCTGGCAAAATTGTCATACGTGGAATATGTTTTTTGGGTCGGTAAATCTTGGTGCGATCCCTTATGTGCCGGGACTCGTGCCGCAACTTCGCACAACGTCAATGGTTGTCGCTATGGTCACAAGATCGCTTACGCCAGCCAATGAGTAAGGTGCCACCCACGAGGAAGCTGTGTCGGTGACACTATTGCAAAGGCCAAAAAAGTTCTGATGTATCAAGTCAACAAAATCCACTCTATTTAGGGGAAAATTGTCACTTGACCATGTCACATGACCACCGTCCACTAAATCTGGTGCAAGATGTCTCGTCTGTAAAATTTGGCGGATCATTGTTTGGACGATGCTTTCTTGTAATTGCTGAAAAGTGACTGGTTCTCCCTTATAATGTATCCTACGTAAAAAACCATTGGTATGTGCTTCTTTCAAAATATGGTAATCAAAATACAACCCTCTGTGAATAGCCAAAAGTCAACAATCAACAACTCCCGAAACTTATCGGGTAATTACCTCCCTACACCCGAGGCGATTACAGTTATCATTGAGCATTGAGAGCACCGCCAGTCAATAATTTGCTAGTCGACAATCTGTGCTATGTATGTTGGCCATGTATCCACCATGCTTTCAACAATGTGCAAAGGCTTTTAGTGGTCAGACGTTTCGGTTTTTTTTCTTTCTTTTTAAAAGAAATTGATTGGTAAAAAGAAATATGGACTAAAAATATGATCAGGTGTCAACCCATGAAGTGCCGATCATTGGAATCTGCTACGCAATCGGACACCGGAAATAGCCTTTCGTACGCGACGCAGATCACAGTTCAAAAGCCTTCTCAACTTTGTCGTGGGCTAGGACACTTCCATATATCCATATCTTGCACGCTGCTTTCCGAACTTAACCCTACAGTACTCCATTCTGCTTTACAAAGAACCACAGTGGACGCTATGTGCCCTCCAGGCCAATCCAGCGCTGTGAACGTGTGACGCTGGGTGCGTCACACTTGTGCCACGACGCACCCTGCATTGCGGCAGTTCATAGTAAACTGAAGTACAATCTACTAACAGTGCCCGACAGAGCCCCCACTCTTCGTGCATTCCACAAGGCAGAAGATGCACGGGTCTTTGCTGGAGCGGCACAGGGTGGCCAACCCACCCGGGTCAACATTGCCCATATGGGCTGTATCTCACGTATTACCCGCAAAAGTGAACGATTGGTCCCTATCCACTGGACGCACGCAGAGTTGAGATTGGTGCCTGGCTCATTTCATGAGTTCCTCAGCATTCTGCTTCGAGTAGCCGCTCTTCCTGCTCGGGAAGGACCACTTGGAGGTACTTCTGCATTGCCACTGTCAAGTATCCTGCAATTGAAAATAAAGCGGCGTTCCTCCAATTTGTCGCGTAACTGCACGCTTATTCATGCAACGAGAAGCCAACCACCTTGACATGCTCACGGGCGTGATAACTTTTTTCAAGGGGGGGGGGGGGGGGGGGGGAGAGCTTACAATTTGTTTTTTTAGACGGGAGCAATGAACCCAAAAGCATCGCTGTGGCAAGTTGCAGTTGACCAAGCAACACTATAATGATTTTGTAGGACTGGGGTTCTTTCGTCATATTACTATTACGCTTTCACCAGCGAAAATAAGGGTATAACGCCAGACTGTCAACTTTGACAGTGTTGGTTTTATAGACATGACTGTTTCGAGCTTCTGCCATGCTTGTTATGCGTATTATCGAGCTTGTTGTTCAGATTTGGTAATCCTATTTATGCCGTCGAAAGGAACCATAAAGGCGCAGTCTCGTGTATCATACAAAAGGCACAGTGTTCACTGCAGCCATGACGACGGAAGTACCTACGGACACGCCTCAAACATCTTTGAAGCTTCGTGTATGCTTCAAACATGTCTGTAAACAGTGTTGTATGACCAATATGTGACATCATACAAGGAAGACGCATTCCTCAGATAGATTGTGCAGACTGTCTTTTGTACGATGTGTCGACAGTGTGACCGTGGCCCAAGAGCACCCAAGGGGGGTGTAGGTGCCCTCCCCTTGCACTCCCCTCTGTACACCCACGCTAATACTACTGCCTTATTTTCTGTCCTCGCAAATAAATTATCGGGCCATCGAAACAGTCCATTATCAATCACCTGGGCTGTGCTATTCCCAAATTGAATGGGAGAACGGGACATAAATTTAACCAGCCTGGAGACTTTGTAAGTGTCCACAAATCTCCTTTGGATACTGCCACACTAGCAGACGTCCATAGGACATTCTAGACATCCACGAGACATTATTAGGACAATAAAACAAAATCAACTGTTGAGCTAGTACGGCAAACGACACACAAATAGTGACAAGTAGGGAGGAGCGGAAAGAGGGAGCCTTTGTCCTGTTCACTTCTAGGCCCCCTCGTCTGTGAAGTTATTTGTATTTTACGACGTTAAGATGTATACAGAACATGTGTAAAATTCTTCAAACTTTCTTGAACAGCCACATGATGTGTATACGGCTTCGGGATATCCACGATACATCCAAAAGGCATAGCAATATCTCCCTGACGCCTGCTGTAAAACAACAGCATGTCACCTGAATAACCGCGAGACTTCCATACAAAATTACAACATGCCCAGATAATATTAAAAATTTTGGGCAATTTCGGCACATCAATGAGACATCGCTAAGACTTTGCTGCATCTTCTGCACGTTCACGGGACATCGCAACCTCAACTGAACATCCCTAGAATGCTTGGACATCAGAATGTCGACAGGACATCAATAGGGCTGCCACGCCTTCCGAATCTCCATAGGACATTCGTTCTTAAGACTTCCATACAACAGCGCAACATGCAGAGAACACTCAAAAGATTTTGTCAGGCATGTTCCGAACATCCCCGAGTCATCAATAGAGCATTGCAACATCCTCTGCATGTTAACTGGGCTCTCATCGGATACTGCGAAGTCAACAAAACATCCCCAGAACATTCGGACATACAACCGTCAATGAAACATGAATAGGGCTGCAATGTCTTTTGAATGTCCAGAGGATATCCACGAATGACAGCAACATCCCTGGCAGCGATACTGCTTCAGCCACAATGAACATCCCCCTTGGAGCTCTCAAACAGTCACAGGAGTCCACAGTAAGCCCAGAAGCCACACTCACGTGAAACACGTCCCACTGCCTTGTTCTTTGCACTCCAGCAGACAAAGATGTAGTACGCCGGTATACCGCTGATGAGGATGACTAGCCCCATGCCTGTCTCCACGGGACTGGCGTACAGGGGCATGAACGTGAGGAATGCGCACATGACGAGGAAGACCAGCGGGAAGACCAAGGGCACCTTGATGGGACGATGCATGCGGGGACGCTTGTAGCGCAGCCACAGCATGCCCAGGATTGAGACTCCCACCCACAGCCACTGGTTGAAGCTAAGGTAGTTGATGAGGACGAAGATGTCGCTCGTGCAGAACATCAGCAGGGCCACACCACACTACAAGTGCAAAGACGTGGGACGGATTAAAAGTATGTTAATTGTTTTGCTCGAATGAGAGGAAGACAGAAGATGTACAAGCAAATTCATAAATGTTTACGGTATAGACGCTTTACACACGCGCCAGATTGAGCCGCCATTGCCGACCTTCTCTTGTCTTACCGAGATGCCGAGCCACTAAAGCGGGCGTTGACGAGCCTCCACAGAGGCCTATGCTGGGGAGAAGGGCACTGTAGCACTTAAAAGGCCAATAACCTGTCCTGCTGTGGCAATGGTGAAGTGAAGCGAACGAAATAAGAGGAAACAAAAATTGAAGGTCGGTTGTGGCGGCGTCCATGCACAGCTGCCTGAAAGCGTCTATTTATGACCAGACCTGGCAGCCAATGTTAAGGAACTCCACACACGTTAGGCAGTTCAAATAGGTCAAAGACTGTAGGGTGTGGGACAGATCAAAAGCATTAAGTTTTAATCATTCTGCATGAACATAATGGAGGTAGAGGAGAAAAGAGCAGGTGCACTGAAGATTATAGTAGGACGACATGGTAAGAAACAATGAGAAACCATTCACACTTTGGGGTAGTTCAAATAGGTCGAACACTGCAGAAAAATATATAAACTTGGGCGAGTTAGTACTGCATACAAGAAATACACTGTTTCCAATATGCATCTCGTTGCAATATCCATATTTTTTGGTGTACAACTGGCAGTTGTTTTCCAAAATTTCTGCTGGAGTGTGTTAGAGAACAATGTGCTGCGGCTTAAGTATGTTTTTGCCATAGGTGATGTGCCTTTCTTTTTCATAGAGTGGTTGTCTGCCCTCGTCTTTCGTGTTTATATTTCTTCAAATTGATGTAAGGCTCTGTGCTTCTGTACCCCTCTGTGTTTCTAAATGTCACCCCAAAAAATAGCGCCAAAACATATGTGTCTATATCTGCCAACAAAGAAGGTGCCCCCCTTTGTTGATCAAAAGCACAAAAAAAACAGTAAGCCGAAATGAAAAAATGCAAGCCAAAAACGCTTTCTCACAATGTTACATACCGATAATAGAAGAGGGGGCGTCGGTGTGAGCTTCTCAGCATTGATCATGCCGAAGATCATGGGAAGGTGCCCTTCCAATGCTCCGATGAAGAAAAGCCTGGAAATCAGAGATCAGAGAAATGTCAGTCAGAAGAAAAGCAAACTGTGGTCCTGAAACAAAATTCTTGGAAAACTAATGTGAAATTCGCTCCGAGATGACGGCAATGTTCCCTTTCAAGTTGTCCAGAAGTTGTAAAAACCAGCAAAAGATATATAGTGAATGTAAGGGTGCAAACAAGCTGGTATAGATTGAACATGACGTAAACCCCGAGATTGCAGGAAAAATACTGTACGAGCACTAAAAGGTCTCGAACACAGCTGAATTTTTATTTGCGAAAAGTGCTCACACAGGCACCATGAGAAAAATAAAAAGTTTTTTTCGTTTTTCTTTGTTAAGGTGCCAATATAATCACTTTTCAGAAATAGAAATTCAGCTGCATTCGAGATCTTTTAGTGTTCTTGTCAATTTTTTGCCTGCAGTCTCGAGGTCTATGTAATGTTTAATAGATACGCCTCTCTACAGATATACCATTGGTGCACAAGATTTGCACAAAAGCACAAATAATTTAGGAAAGAAGTAAAAAAAAGTTGGTCGCCACAAGCGGCCTGTAACTTCGCCACACACAACCAGATGTGGTAATTTAGCGGTTGGAAGAATGTCTAGAGGCAGCTTTTGAGTCAAGGAGATGGCAACGTTCGCTAAACGGTAAAACTGACTTTCAGTGTTCATGATTAATATCCTTAAAGTACAGCTCTGGAGCACTTCAGCCACCACAACCTCAGATTCATTCAAGATAAAAGTGAGCTCTTAATGCAATAGCTATATCTAAGATTTTTAAAAAAATATTTCGTTAAATTCAGTTTTTTTTTTTGTTAACAAGAAGTGTAAATACAAACTATCTAAATGAAGATAGAGATGTCAACAAAACATGTTTCTTGATAAAAAAAACATGACTATACTGGGTGATTCAAGGAGAAGCCAGGCTCTTTAAATCGACCGCAACATTCGGTTTCTTAACCTATCGCGCTACGACTTTGTGCAGCGTTGCCCACAGATGGTGCTTTGTATTTTTTGTAAAATTTGCAAAGAGCGAACTTACCTGAGGAAAAAGTAAAGAAGGAAAAAGGCTTAACTCTTATGGAAACGCAGCGAAGCCACCGGTCTTCAAACAATATGGCGCCGTTTCGCACGGGAGACAAGAGATGGCTCAACGAACGCCGCCAACGCAGAGCTCCGCGCCAACGAACGAGCATATGGCGCCGAGAGCCGGCGTCTTTAGCGGACAATCTTTTCAACCCAAAAGCGGTGCGCGTTCGCAGGCAGCGACAGTCGAAGAAACAAAAACAGGCGCGGTAACGACAAGGAACTGCAGTTCCTTATCTGCTAAAGACGCCGGCTCTCGGCGTCGTATGCTCGTTCGTTGGCAGCAGTTGGTGTCGCGACCGCTTGCGCCATCTTTTGTCTCCCGTGCAAAACGGCGCCGTGTTGTTTGAAGACCGGTGGCTCCGCTGCGTTTCCATAGGAGCTAAGCCTTTTTCTTTCTTTACTTTTTCCTCAAGTAAGTTCGCTCTTTGCAAATTTTACAAAAAAAAAAAATGCACCATCTGTAGGCAACACTGCACAAAGTCGTAGCGCAATAGGTTAAGAAACCAAATTTTGCAGTCGACTTAAAGAGCCTGGCCTCTCCTTGAATCACCCTGTAGGTATGTCAACAAGAACATTTTAGTGTGAAAAAAGACACACCTGGCTATCGTGAACATAATTCCGTTCAGTCCACCAAAGGTCGAAAGGCTGACGAACACGGGCATGATCCAGGCAACCACACCAATTGTTCGCTGTGCAAAGGTCTGCAAAAGAATAAAAGAACAAAAACCTCAGGGAATCATCACAAATAAGCAATGTTTCCCAGCGACAAGGGAAAGAGAAATCGGCTTATGGTACAGTTAGTATGAATTAACAGCTTGTTAATAGGGACACCTCCTTTCCCCCCAGAAATCATCCATAATGTGAGTCATACGAGACAAACATGTAGATAATATACCCGATTGGTCCCCAAAAACGTCTATATAGCGGGTATCCTTACTTAAACACTTAACCAGACATACTTAACCAGACTTGACTTTAACAGCTTTGCTCATAATGAACAGCCGTAAGAACAAACACGGGGAAACGGAGCCATCGAACTATGATTAGGGCAGATTTTAAGTGATGAGTACTATTAAATTCTACTTAAACAAAATGCAGTCACACAACCCTCATTTTCATAAAGTCTGGAGTGTTGGCAAGAAACAAAAACGAGGCAACATTCTTGGGTAGCTCGAAAAGTATGGCACAATACACAGCGCGTTGCCTCCTCCCCTCGAATGTTCCTGTTTAATGGTAGGAGTGACAGACTTAACTATGTGGGAGCCATGCAGCATTCGAAAATCTAGACATATTAAAACAAACAGTCTTTCCGAGTCTATGGGCGATGTACACTTTTGGGTGTCTGATGTCGGCGCACCACCGTAATCGTGGCAGGCAACAGCGCGACAGACAACGTCATCGGGCGGAAGTCAAGGGACCACAGACAAGGACGTCGTAAGCGCACTCGTTAGAGACACCTTTTGGGCACCGTACCTTGACTAACGGAGGCAGCGAAGCGCACGCCCCAACTAAACTCAAAACAGAAAGATGTGTACCACAGCAACTGCCGGTGATGACAACATTTCCTGCGGGGAGACCACCGTGAAGTAGGCCACATTGGCCAGGACGTAAAACAGCGTCACCAGCGTGATGCCGATGTAGATGGCCCTCGGTAGGTTCCTGAAAGATGTCAGTAAGGTTAGACACCGTCACCAAGAGCATGAGAAAGGCAAAGAGGTGCCTCAGGCACCGCCTTTGGCGAGAGCTTCCTACTTTCAATAACCCTTTGGCATCTCGTTGGGAGCCGGGCATTCCAAAGAGACGCGCTGCCCTTCTTACTATGTCAATGACTACAATCCGAAAGTTAAAGCTTCGGACATAAGTAGGAATTGGATGTAAACGTCCCGGATATGGCCCAAGATTTTATGACTAAGTTTTGTGAACAAGGTTTTGTGACAACAATCCCGTCGTGTATGGAATGCTGCAATACCACAGCATATCTAACGTGTGACATATGCAGAAAATAATACAGTCGAGTCTCGTTAATTCAAACTCTCTTAATTCAAACTTGCAGATAATTCAAACTAACATGTAGGTCCCATCCTATGCAAATCTATGGGAAGAAACTCATGCTAAATCAAACTCTGCTTTATTGAAACAAATTTTCGGTCCCCCTCGAGTTTGAATTAACGAGATTTGACTGTATTACAATTCAATCTGACGTCTCCGTCGGGAATGTGAAACACCGAACGACTGCAACCCCGTGTTTCCTTTATTTCTGTGGAACGTTTCTGCTTTACAGTCATGTGAGGAATAGCAAATTTTAGAAACATCTATTAGACGAAATCTTCAGCGATTTGAACAAATTTTGGACGTTTCTTTAACTCTGAATAACTGAGAGTTTGTTGAGACTAAAATCTTTAGTAACTGAATCTACAAGCTTATTGGTGAAAATTACCTTGTATTTTGGCTACTCCAAAATCAGCCTAGAGCTTTCTGTTGTTCTACTTCGGTAAATGATCAACTGACATGTCTTTTTTCTGTTACTTAAATAGCAGTTAAGTCAGCTGGCAGTACTACCCTCAACAACTGCGTGTATTGCGGCAGGAGAGCACATTTTTATTTATTATTTCAGACATCCAGTCATGGTCGCTAAAGGCCTACACCAGTACAAACTCTGTATAGCAAAAAAGGTACAGCCACCGGATTTACTTTTCGCCAAAGAGACCGGCCAGTCTGACACAGTTTTCCCTATTTTTTTTTATTTGCACGCGGATAACAGCGCAATTGGATTCTGTTAGTCTTTTTATCTAGCACAGTAATACACGATATCTGGCATACCAAAATCTGCACATCTGCGCTTGAAATTTCCAAAATGACGCGATTTTACACAGAGTTTGTACGCCAGCCGGATGCTAGGTACTGCCCACTCGGCGGAGCAGACGACATGCGGGTGAGAGGGGGAGGGTATTTTTTCTCTTTTTACCCTCTCTGCTATGACCCTAATGGAACGGTCTATATTTGGCGGGGAAGAATTATGTCACATGACTTCATGACACGTGACCTATAGACTTTTCACCCTCTGTCGCGTGGATGCTGCCACGTTGAAACCACGTGACGCGGCCGCCATCAGTTTGCTACAACCCCCCGCTCTTCTCTCCCCTCCGCACCTTGGTGGATGCGTTGTCTTTGTGTTTTTTGTCGTCTTTCATTGTGTTTCTTCGCCTTACTCCGTAAAGTATAGTCCGATACTTTAGATTTATTACCTAATTGCATTACATCATTATGTGCACAACTTCTGCAGTTAATTTCGTAGCACATTTTTACTATTTTCAGCGTCGGCGTACGGAATACGTGTAGGCTTTTCCCACAAGTAAGCGACCCCTTATTGCTAGTATCCAGCGGCGCGACTACGCGTATAAGAACTTTCGTCCGAAGTCCGGGCGAGGCACCGAGCACCGAGGCCGCTCCCATGGATCATGTTACACAGAGCTGGCTGTTACCGGGCGGGGTCTCTGCAGAGCAGACTCTCTCAACCTACGGCACAGCATGCGTCTCGCTGCGCCGTAACGCCTGTGTGGCAACGGTAAACGAAAACCTCAGCCTGTGTGGCGAAAACCTCAGCCTTTGTGGCGACACCAGGGTTCGTACAGGATTCAGAGAAAGATATTCAAGGATATTTAAGGAATTTCAAGGCCCTGTGGGAGTATTTTCAAGGACCTAACTCGGTGCCACACATGACAGATTTCATCAAAGCACTCATGTCAAAAGATCGTAGGTATCATTTTTATTGCACTAAACAAAATGAAAAAAATATTTCTTGCAAACTTGTTTGCATTGCACTAAGCCAGAATAAAAATTGTTTCCAAAACCACTTGTGGTAACTTCAGGGGAGCTCCTGCAGCTTTTCCTGAATTTGTTGGCTGATGCTAAGCAGCTCCTCGGCCTTGCTTTCTGCAGTTTTCCTAAGACTATTTGATTTTACAATGTATGTGAGGTCATTTGCTTTTTCTGCATAGGCATCTGCTAAGGCTGTGAGATCAGCCATAGTCGCTTCAAGTTTCCTCTTTTTTGCTTTCATGGTGTCTATCTCTTCATCAATGCAGCGCTTTTTTGCCTGCTTCGCATCTTCACGCTGCTTCATTTTTTCTGCTTCCAAATATGCACTGTACTGCTGTCTCGCAGCTGACACAGCAGTCCTCAGTTATTTCGTAAGTGGGATGCTGAGGACACCACCTTCCTTTACCACTGCATTGCACACAATCCGTTGAGAGACGTAGGAAAGGTCCTTGAGATTCTCTACCGAAACCTGGCGGTTTACACTAAACCCTCGCTCCACAGTTGCCTGTCCATGGCTTAGGACAAGCAAGAGTTTAACTACTTTCCAGAGCTCTGCATACGATGGATTAAACTTCATGAGTTCAGAGAAATACTCATCTATCCTGTTCATGCTCTTTTCAAAGAGTCGCAGGTGATGTTTCTTTTCCTGCAAGAACTCGGTGTACTGTGCCAGTACCGTGTCTCGTTGGTGATCAGTCATTCTCCCTGCGGTGATGAGGACGTCCAACACTTTTCTAAAACCAGGAAGGCACTCATCTGGTCTTGCACACATCTGTCGTGGGATGTGACGACCTTCAGAGTCCACAACACTTCGGCATTTGTCACCAACTCGTGCGTCTTGCAAGCAGCGTTTATGTTTGGCAACTGCGATGGAGGCGGGACAGTGGATCGTTCACTTGTGCCTGGAGCCAGGTAATTGTGCACCGAGCTGTTGGCTGCGATCTTCATGATGCCGGCATGTTTAGCGCTCTTCATATGGCTCTTCAATGCCGATTCGCCCATGGCCGCGATATAGAAAGTTATTCCGCACGGCTTGCATCTTGCACGATGCTGATTTGTCGTATCTGGTGCCACCCAGTCCTTATATTCATCACTGCAGAGCCATGCACCTTGAAACTTGCTTTTGCCGGGCATTTTGCTACGACCGTCGACAAAACATGAGGCAATGGCGGAAACAGTGCCCGGATGAGATTGGATTCGGGTTTGCTCCAATGTGGCCAACCATCCAATGAATGTCGGCTAAATCTAAACAAATAGAGATAACTTGGACCAAAACGAAACAAAAACGATAAGCATAGTGAAGATAAACAATACATACCCGAATTTGTTCTTATAAATAGCCATTCACAGATTTTCAAGGCGTAGCCAAAAAAATCAAGAGCTTTCAAGGGCCTTGCAAACCAAATTTTCAAATTCAAGGGTTTTTAAGGTCTAGCAAAAAATCCAGGATTTTCAAGGGCCTTGAAAACTCAATTTTTAAATTCAAGGGTTTTCAAGGGTTTCCAGGACGTGTGCGCACCCTGGGCGACACGGAACCTCAGCATGTGTGGCGACAAAAGAACGGAACCGCAGCCTGTGTGGCGACACGGAACCTCCGCCAGTGTGGCGACAGAAGAAAAGAACCTCCGCCTGTGTGGGGCGACACGGAACTTCAGCCTGTGTGGCGACAAGGAACTTCAGCCTGTGTGGTGACAGAAGAACAGAACTCAGCCTGTGTGGCCACCCCAATTCGCACTATAAGTATTAAACCTCACTTTTATCTCCTTTTACCAATGTGAGTAGTCTCTTTCGACCTTTCCGATCTGGGCCAAGACGAAGAAAGATAACATACGTGTGAAGATGAAGCACGGGAATCAGCGTTCGCACTGAGGAAGATTGAATATGCACATGACTAAACAGCATGAGGGTTCAAAGGCCAATCACTTATGGCAACTCAAGATTGCTCACTAATAGCGGCAAAACATACCCAATAAGAATTAAGTCACGTGTTTAACTTGCATTTTATTTCATGTTAGGAATAATGGTGCGTCACCATTGGGCAATATGTCTGCTAATAATGTCACATCTACATGTATTCAACATTCTTGATAACTCTTCTAAATGTACACATTCACTTGATCAGTTCTTTTACTAGTTTAAAGACTAAAACATTGCTGAATCACATTTCTGGAGTCTTTCAAATTATTAAGTTTTTCCTGAAGAGCAACTCCGCTTTATTTTTATTTTTGCAAAAACAATGCAGTCCTTTTATAGTATCACCTAGGAAGACAACACGTCAAATATCACAACCTAGTTCTGTCTATATGTTTCTTCAATGATCCAGCAAATTTTGCAACGCGCCAAGTTGCCAAAGTCAGACGACTCTAGTGGGCCAATTGAGGTGCAACCATCAGCGTGGTCAAGGATATGGCGAGGTGTAGCCAACGTTGAGCTAAACATCATTCCCATCGCCTCTTTTTCTTTGTTTTTATTTCTCCGGGTCAGCGTAACAAGTGACGTCAACAACGTTTCCTCTTGTCGTTCAACGGTGCCTTTGTGATTGGCGTAAAGCGCTTGCGCAGCGTGCTTCTTGGGAGCCGTCAGGCCATCGCGCCGTTACCGCCGTTTCCATGTCACAACCGCCGTCATCGTCTCATCGTTTGTGATTTTTGTATCTCGAAGTTTCGTTCACACTACGTGCGTTGACTGATGCTGCAGTTGTGCTCGCGTCGTCGAGTGTCGTGGATGCCAAAATGTGGTGAAGAGTGTGGTGCAGACGACACTAGCACCAGTTTCAAACCTGTCCTCTTATCACGTAAGTCATGCTTTTGCTGGCCCGAGGACCGTTTTTGGTTTCGATT